GATCTAGATAATCATTCGATATTGTGGTCCTACCCCATACTTCAGATTCAATAAGTCTAAAAATAGACATTGTATTGAGAAAATTGACACCCCATCTTTCGTAATGGTCAAGAATGCAAAGCAACTAGCTCAGGGAAGAGTGCAAGTTTTTGAGATTTTGAAAGAATTAGCAGGAACCAAAATAACTAGACTAATTTCTTGGGTTTTTCACATGCAGGTTGGTGCAAACTAAATACTAACGATGCTCCAAAGGCAACCCATGCCCAACAGGAGTTCCAGTTATTCTCATGGATGAAATAGGACTTTGGGTGATAGGGTTTTTTGGGAGGATCAATCATAACTCCAGCCTGAATGCAGAACTACGAGCCATATTCAAAGGGCTTCAGTTGATCAAGGATTTGGGGGAAGAAAATAATCATCCTTGAGACAGATTCACTAGAAGGATAGAGACTTATACTTAACCCACATAAGGATTACTTGCCATTGAAGCACCTAGTGGATCGAGGTAGGACACTCATTGAAGCAACTGGTATTGTAGTCTCCCATTTCCGAACGAGGGGAATAACTGTGCTGATATCTTGGCAAATATGGGAGGGGTCCGGCTTCTCTGTTGTGAGGAGCTTAACAGGAATCTATTACCAAAATAAAGTGATTTTTAAACAATATTATCGATCTACAGTTGTTTTGAACTTATTTATCAAACTACAGCTGTTTTTAAAGGCGGAATCAACACATCCGACTTCAGTTGGAAGCGGATTTTCTAAGTCCGACTTCGTTAAAAAGCGGATTTAAGGAGTCCGACTTCACTGTAAAAGCGGAAACGTTAAATCCGCTTTCTATGGAATCAGACCACTTTTTTTAAACTCACAGGAAAGCATAGAAGGCGGCTTTGTCACTGCCGCTTTCTAATGAAGGCAGTTTTGATAATTCCGCTTTCATTAAAAAGCGGCTTTGGCAATTNGCAATTCCGCTTTCTGATGAAGGCGGCTTTGCCAATTCCGTTTTCTGATGAAGGCGGGTTTACCAACACTGCTTTTAACCACATATAAAAAAAAATTTAAACAATAAATTTTATTATGACATCCACTTATTCTCACCATCCCTACCTAAATAATAAATAATAAAATAAATTTCACAAGTTTAAATTATCAAAAAGACATCCCATCCAAACAAAGAAACCCTATCCGCTCAAAAATATTATTGTTAAAAAATAATTATAGCAATGTAACCACCCAATCCCAAGCAACAACTCTCCATGTGATGATTACAAATAATTTAGCATATATAAATATTAAACAATAAATTTAATTATGACATCCACTTATCATTCTCACCACCCCTATAAAACAATAAATAATAAAAATAATTTTCACAAAATTTAAATTATCAAAAATACTACCCATCCCAAACAAACCTTATATATCATAAAAATAAAGGAACCCTATCTGTTCAAACTATTATTGTCCAAAAATAAATATAGCAATCTAACCACCCAATCCCAAGCAACAAACCCTAAGTAAGGGGAAAAGAGATTTTATTTCTTATGCGATAAAAACATTACAAATCAACATTTATAATGAAGAGATTTTAAGTCTTTTCATTATAAATAGAACTATAATATTAGATATTAAACTACATAATATATTAATGGTAGTCATAATTTTTCTGATGAAGACCATATTTCAAACAATATAGAGAAGTGCCATGATAACAGAGAGTAGCAGAGAAAAATTTTGCAGTATAATCATCATCACTCGATTCTTCAAAATAAGAAAGTTCATTGTCAGATGGCAATGATGGATCAGACGGTATTGCATTAATAGGCTGTACAGGGTTGAAATGTTCAATCTTTGCCTTTGTAATAAGGTAGAATCGATTTAGCCGTCGTTCTATCTGATCATTCTCAAGAGACAGTGTTGCAATAATATCATTGTAGTTATCCGTGCACCATTCCACATACATTTCAGATGAACATGCCTANTAGGTAAAAAGCAATTAGTCACAATTCATTTGGGATTAACATACAATACAAAAAGTTCACTTACAATTCAATTGAAATTGAAATTGAAATCAATCCGAAAATGTGGAATCGATCCAAAAGATTAGGATCAATCTTAAATAGCCTTATCTTATTGTAATTGCAATGAATCGAGCCATAATTTGATCCAATTTTAGTATATTTTTTTGTTTACTACNATACTTCAAGCTCACAGCGCTTGAAATAAGATTTCAACCAACTTGGTTCCGGTAGGTAATAATAAAACTCTAGGGGTGGAACAAAGGTTACAGGTCCAATCATCACATGACCGACTTCGGTGAAAGGGTTATGAATATTGATTGGCTCATTCTTAAAAGAACGTAATTTTCCATACCATTTTACTCCAATGGAATCTATGTAATTACCGGGTTCTGGTGAACTGAATGAAGAAAATATTTTNGAAATCAATTTTTCTTGATTTTAATCCCTTCTCTTCAATCAAAACACCTTCAAACAAATAAATTTGACCTAAATGAACGAAATATGATGTGGGTCTTTTTATTTTTTTTTATTTGTTTCAGCTATGATTTAATATTCATGGATTTTTGTGAAGTATGACTAAATTTCTTTTTCTCTAGAATTACCATGATTATGGTTATGAACAATGGAGATTGTTTTTCCACTGTAATTCTTGGATTAATTTTTTGGTGCTCATCTTTTGATAGCATTTTCTAGTCAAAATATTGATGCAATTGAACATTACTGTGGTCCTATGGATGAAAATATGAAGCTTGAAATTNAGTGATAAGGTGACGAGTAAATAATGATAGTGACTAGACAGTGATAAAGTGATGAGTGAATATTGATAGTGACTAGACAATGATACAGTAACTACTGAACAAGTATAGCGACTATACAATCATACAGTGTTGTAATTAAATAAATGGTATTTACATAACAGTGGCATCACCATTGACAACTTAGCATTGATAGTAAAGTGTTGCGTGTAGTATTGCTAAGCTGAATAGTTGCATGAGTAGTCAAATCATCATATTGAAAAAAATTATAGGCACAACTATCTAAACAGTTACTATGACTACCACCAGAATAACACTATAAATTGATTGTGTGTGTTGCTTCGCTTACCAGACTATAACCGTAGAAATGAGTTACAGTCCACGCTCAGTGTTTGAAACCATGGGATATCATTGGGCGTTGGAGGATGAATTCTTCTATCCTATAAATCCTCGTTTACGTTTCTCTCAAAGGTCCGTGAATAGGATGATGGAGGAATGACAATATCGTTTGAATGAGAGAGAAGTTCTGAGTGAAGATTTACACATTTGTAACATATGCAGGCCATGACAAATTGCCATTAACATGCCTATTGAAACACCACAAGAGTTGGAAGGTGCATTGTGGCGTATTCGTGCTGAAAACAACTGTATGACAATATGGCAAACTCGTTACAACCTACGCCGAATTGCAGGCGACCGTGCTACAAAATGTTTGGTTGAGGAAGCTCGTTTATGCCTACAGTTGTTTATGGAAAGAGGAAGTGTTTCTAACGTTGAAATGTCAAACGACNACTGCAGTTTATGTAGCTGTATTTAAATAGGAACGTAAGTTAATTTAATATTACATTCATTGTATAGAGTGATACAGTGACAAATGAACAAATGTACTGACTAGACAGTAATACAGTGACGTGTGAACAATGATAGTGACTATACAGTGGTAAAGTGACAAGTGAATAATGATAATGAGTAGACAATGATAAAGTGATGAGTAAATAATGATAGTGACTAGATAGTGATAAGGTGACGAGTAAATAATGATAGTGACTAGACAGTGATAAAGTGATGAGTGAATATTGATAGTGACTAGACAATGATACAGTAACTACTGAACAAGTATAGCGACTACACAATCATACAGTGTTGTAATTAAATAAATGGTATTTACATAACAGTGGCATCACCATTGACAACTTAGCATTGATAGTAAAGTGTTGCGTGTAGTATTGCTAAGCTGAATAGTTGCATGAGTAGTCAAATCATCATATTGAAAAAAATTATAGGCACAACTATCTAAACAGTTACTATGACTACCACCAGAATAACACTATAAATTGATTGTGTGTGTTGCTTCGCTTACCAGACTATAACCGTAGAAATGAGTTACAGTCCACGCTCAGTGTTTGAAACCATGGGATATCATTGGGCGTTGGAGGATGAATTCTTCTATCCTTTAAATCCTCGTTTACGTTTCTCTCAAAGGTCCGTGAATAGGATGATGGAGGAATGACAATATCGTTTGAATGAGAGAGAAGTTCTGAGTGAAGATTTACACATTTGTAACATATGCAGGCCATGACAAATTGCCATTAACATGCCTATTGAAACACCACAAGAGTTGGAAGGTGCATTGTGGCGTATTCGTGCTGAAAACAACTGTATGACAATATGGCAAACTCGTTACAACCTACGCCGAATTGCAGGCGACCGTGCTGCAAAAGGTTTGGTTGAGGAAGCTCGTTTATGCCTACAGTTGTCCATGGAAAGAGGAAGTGTTTCTAACGTTTAAATGTCAGACGAAGAAAGTTTCCCATGATGAAGATGTATTATGCATATGTTGATTTATGCGCTAGGGGTTTTATTATGGTGTGTCGTTTGTTATAATAATGATTTACAGATTGACTACTGTGTTGCTGTAGTTTATATGTATTGTCAGTATGCATTGTCAGTAATTTATCATTATCTGTATTGTCATTATGCAGTACTAAAATATAATGTACCATTTGTTGTCTTATTTTATCTTAATCATTGAAATGGAGAATAACGCTAAACACAACAATGCATACAATATATAGAAAATACATATACATTTGTAAACAATAGGAACCATATATTGGATTAAAGTATTTACAATACTTACTTTTAAACATAATGAATTTTAAAAAATTTCAACAAAATTTCCCTTAAAACTTTGTCATACCCAAAAATTGAACACCTCTATATACAATATGAAAACAACAACAATCCCAAAAACACAACCATATCACCACCCAAGCACAAGCACCACCAACAGCAGCCAACCACCAAATCCAAAAAACTCCACCACATAACCAACAACAATACATACAAACTACATGAACATATACATGTTACAAAAAATGGCAACAAATGATAAAACATGACAACACTAAGTCCCACAAGACGGCTTTTTCCTGAGCCGTTTTGAACGCCTATCCTGTAACTGTGATGGCTCGGCATCGCACAGCTGTGACACCGGATCTCCGACTAGAATAGTATCTCCGCCCTTGCCTCTACCGCTGCCTCTGCCTCGTCCACCCCGTCCTCTACCATTGCGGCCTCGAACACTTCCGAATCTGCCTCCTCGACCTTGACTGCGACCACGAACTAATGAAATTAGATAGGCTAGTGGAGTCGTAGCGCGGTGATGTGACCTATGCACAACTACGGGCGTCGTAGGAAGTCCTATACCATGACCCTGCGAAACCTCATCGGATGGATCTGAAATATGAACATCTGTGGGCGGAGATGGCATCAATGCATCATGACAGACAGACAACCACGGTAATGTGACTGCTGAAGCATCTGATGTATATGTCTCTGGTCCTACCATGGGAGAAATATGTGATGTGTGGTACTCAGAATGTCTGCAGGTCTCGGTCAATGGTGGTGGATGGGGTGTATTATGTGCTGATGTATGGTGGGGACTCGATGTGAATGATGTATCTGCACGTACTATAAATGGTGACTGCTGATGCCCAATAGGTGCTGACAGAGGCTCTGCTGCACTAGTCTCCGGTACTGCGTCGACCCTGGCAGCTACCCGAATATCAGCTCGATGGCGTGGATGTCTCTGTCATGGTAGAACTATACCATGAGGCCGCGTAGGTACATCGGGTTGTGCAATCGGTGCAGTGTGTGGCATAGGCTCGGTGTGGACGATACGATGTAGACGATGGTCCTCTCGAACCGCCTCGAGACTAGTGGAGGTAAGAGCTCGGGCCGTCTGTAGTGCCTATCTATGTGCTGCGTCCGTACCATACGCAAGGGTAGCTTCTGCAACCTGGTGAATCTTGATAAGTGTATGCTACTGCAAAAGTAAAATGCACATGCATTAGCATAATATACTTTATGTATTTGTAAATCATGAATATAATGACAAATGCACTTAGCAATTATCTCACCAAAATGTTGATTATGCTACCCATCGGTTGGAATCCAATATGTGGAGGATCTACTGGCGGTCCGATCAATCGTCGAGTGATACGGCTGTACCACCCCATAAACACATGCAAACTCATGAATATCTGATGTAGCTGCCTCTCCTGCAATAGCATGCTCTCGTCGGTGTGTCCATACATCTATAGACGACTGATATACAATACTCCAGTCATAACCACCTCTGCTGCATCGATCAGTAACATGGAGAGCAGACCCAGTGTCGCATGGCTGAGGGATCTGCTGTATAAATCCGAACTGGCGCATGACACGATCAGGCAAATGCCACTCTACTAATGCAAAGCATATAAGTGGTGCACGTGCCATCCACAAGTCTCTACCAAGAGTACAATATGTCGGTAAGGCTGCTATGATCTCAGCAGTATATGGCTTCCAAAACATCTACAACATTTTGACAAATACTCATTTTATATGTAAGTGTGAAAAAATTATTTAGTTTGTAATATAGTTTATGGTGCTGTATATAGTGAACCTGCTCATTGCGCATTTGGGCTAGCTGATCCCTATAATGTCTGAGGACGTGTCTAGAATTGTGTACATACAAAGTTATACGCACACTCCACCTGCAACTCATCCAATAAATCATGTTGATCATTTTTAAAAAAAATAATTGGTAATTCATCATTACACACCTGCATCCCAATGGACCCCTAGATAATGGGTCATGCTAGTCAGACATCTCCTCCGCAGCAGCAGGTACCTCTGTAGGAACCAATTCATCAGGCCCGTCCGGCATGTGAAACACATTGGGTCTATCTACCTCTGCTGCTTGATGAGGTAGTACTCTCTCCGGATAGATATGCGTAAGCCGCTCCCATGCCCACAACTATTAAATTAAATGTAAAATATGACTAAGTAGGACATCAATTGACTTATAGATTTATTTAAATGCAATAATACCTGTAAAATAACTAGCGGTCCACCAATATCGGATGCGTCTGGGGCTGTAGCGCAACACATCTCACGGTACAAGCATGCAACAACTGCACTCCCCCAACTCAATCTCCCAGAACCATCTAGGTCCTCAAGATGCTGTAAGTACATAAGTCCTACCTTGTTCTGAGACTTGTCTAGAAATATGTAAGCACTGATGAGCAGCAAAATGTAGGCACGAGCATAACGATCAATGGTCATGGCATCAGCATCTGCTCGCAGCAGCTCAACAAATATAGTAGCAATACTGGTCATCTTAAGTCGCGATCCAGTGAACGCAGTGTGCGCTGGCCTAATGCCTAGATGCTCCTCACAATAATCCTGCCACTCCTCTAATGTGCGATGTGTGTCAACATCGGTCACTGCATCACTGTCAATGGGTAGTCCAGATAGTAGTGCCATGTTCTGCAATGTCACTGTCGCCTCGCCTATGGGCAAATGTACTGTATGAGTCTCTAACCTCCACCGCTCCACTAATGCTATCACCAAATGGTGGTCCAGCTATATAAACCCAAGATAGTGTATCCCATAAAATCCGGCAGTCATAACATGCCGCAAAACCCTATCATCTGGTCGTCGCCTCTGCCCGACAACACTTCAATGGTGGTAATTCCTTTACATAATACCAAAATTAATTAAAAGGTGTAATTGGTGGGTTATGGTATAAATATATGTATTGTACTCATTATATTACGTGCCTGTCCATCCCATATCTGAGTGGATCGATGTCGTCCTTGCAAGTATAATACTACTGGGTCAACAGGTCCCGGGTGTACTAAGTTACACGCCTGTTGACGCTCCATAGCTTGTTCCAATTAAATGACTGTCTATTTAACAATAATAATAAAAAGTACATACACTCGCAAAATAGCCATACATACATTTGATTAATATGCATTGTTCAACGTTTAATACATGTCAGTACAACAAACTACGTTCTGTTTCAGTACAACATTGCTTATTCTTCATTAGACATATAATCATCTGATATGTATTGTTCATGATTTAACACATTATTATGCTCTACATCTGATAAGGCTCGTCCATATGCATTTGTTACTAAGTCGGTTGCTAGTTGAACCATATAATATCGCCGCCTACGAGCCAACATTCGATTATTCTCATTGTGAACTGGTGTAACTGCTAATTTGTAATCTTGTCTGTTCCTTCTTTGCATCATTAGAGATATTCGGCGTGGCACGGGTATACCAAGTTCTCTTAACTCAGTGCTTAATTCATTTGATTCAGTAGAATGAAATGCCCATTCTCGTCTTACTCCAGCATAATACTCTTTTGGGTCAGTAAATTTTTCTGTTTTGTAATCATCGTTTCGCTATGTCAAAAGCCAAACCCGTTGTTTTTTGCAATTGTTTGCACCTATTGGTCTTCGAGATGTAGACATAGTTCAATTGAATTAGAGATCTGCAACAAGTACAAAAAATGAATATTCATTGAATATAGACATGAGGAATGTAATGACATAAATAGAAGTACTAAATTTTCATCATTACATTATGCGAACATAGTTATTTACATGAACACTGTTCATTTATTACAGCATCACATTACATACTCATCCATATGATCTAACACATACATATATTTTATGTCGTTTTTGATGGGCATGTGCGTCTATCGTGCCCAGGTTGACTACATAATCTGCATTGCTACGTACTACGACCCTGTCGTAAGTCCATTTCATTTCGAATGCGAGTAGATTGGGGACAACCCTTCGTTCATAGTAGATTCGGATTAGGACAGATTATTGAACCACTTACCGCATCCTAATAGTCAGCATGATGTAGAGGATGAAATTCACTTGATCAAACGACATCATGGGCAACAACAATGTATATCTCATCTACATATTGCCACGGGTCTAAATGCCTCTTCGTAAAAAGTGCCATTGCATGAGAACATGACATTTTATAGGTGTTTCACTTTCCACATGAATATGTGTGGTCAAAAATATTTAGTACCTGTGCATTCCCTTTTTTGGTGACAACATATGCCTTTCCGGTGGTACGGCTGAATGTGGTAACATTTTGACCGATTTTTTTGATAGAAACATACGTCATCTTCTCCACAGCATTAGGTGTGAAAACGCACTCGCTATCTGACGCCGAACCATGCCTATCATTGAAATTCTGAATAACCTTGTAAAATATTATTTCAACGCATGCCGTGATCGGTAAATGTCTTGCTTTTTTTAAGACAAAGTTGAACACCTCAGAAATGTTGGTTGTCATGATTCCATAACGTCTTCCGTCGTCATGTGCAAGTGCCCACTACTCTTTTGGTATCTGATTAAGCCAACGACCGGCACCTAGGTTGATTGCGTGGATTTCTGTCATAATCTTGTCATACTTGCGAATTTGATGTGCAGAACCAGCATCCCATACTAGACGTTTAAGATAAGAGTTATGAAACTTACTGTTGAAGTTACTCTGGATATGTCGTAAGCAATAGCGATGGTATGCATACGGTGCTTCCCATCCAGAACCATGAGCAACAACTGATTGAATTATACCTATATGCCGGTCAGATAACAGGCATATGCCTGGACGGTCACCGACTACATCTTGTCTAAGGCTCCAAAGAAACCAACCCCATGTATCTATGCTTTCCTCGTCAACGATTGCAAAGGCAAGAAGAAAAATATGATGATTTCCATTGAGTCCTATAACAATTAACAACTTCCCCTTGTACTTCCCGTACAAGAATGTGACATCGATACTTATAAGTGGACGACAGTGTCAAAAACCATCAATACACGGTTTAAATGACCAAAACACTCTGTCAAATACAGTCGTCCCATTTTCAAGGTCGGGAACCTGCCATCTGACTATTATGCCCTCATTATACTTTTGCAGTGCAACAAGGAAATTCAACAAAATAGAATATGATTCATCCCAATCACCAAATAGCATCGCCAGCGCAATTTGTTTTGCTTTCCATGCTTTCTAATACGATATATCGTACTCATACACAGTGGAAATGTGTTTTATTAACAAAACAACCTTCAGAGATGGATCTGTCCAGACGAGCTCTTGTACTTGGCGTGCAACAAATTGAGAATCTAATTGCACATGGTCCTCAGTGGTTGACACATGCACACAAGTGTATGGGCCTTCATATTTGGTAATTTAAAAAAGCTCGTGCGTTTTCTTTTGAATAGCTCGCAGCCTCCACTTACACCCCGACTGATATTTTTTACACCGTAAAGTCAATAAATTTTTTTCACTCTCAACAACCTCGAATTGGACGTGATTGTTGATTGAATACATCTTCACTGCATCTTGAAATTCCGATTTATCCTTAAAGATTAGGCCGATTTGAGTCCCACAATGGAGCTCTTGTTTGATTGCTGGGGGCAGACACTTGGGGAAGTTCTTCATTAGTGAAGAAGGTTGACGTTAGCTCATGCATACGAACAGTGTCTTCCAGTATAACTGATGGGCCACGTTCATCAGCGTCATCATTAAGGTTTGTCACATCGTCCATCAATGTAATCTCCTCGTTCTCATCGTCTGCACGATCAATCGCACACATTCCATTGGTTGCCAACAAATGAGCGTCTGACTGAATCAAATTTTGAATGACTTCAGTCCTTGATTGAGCATGACATTGGATACCAACAATGGAAGAACATGTGGTGTATCTCAAATACGTTGACGTATGAGTACTGGGCCCTATATGCAATTCTGGCACATAAGACTCATCCGCCAGATATTCATGCCCATGTTGACTGGGACACAGATTGTTGCTCTCCTGCGTAAGAAATTCTATATACGGGGCATACTGATTCATCATTGCATGAGCAAACTGTTGGATTGACTCTACCTGAATGTACATGCCAATACTATTCAATGCATGGTTTTCAACAACAGCATCTACCATCGCCGCGACACCCGCATTATTTTTTATTTCAAATTCAATGTAATGCTGCATGCAATCCCCCAAAAATATTGAAAACCGAAAAATTAGTTGTAGTTGTGATGATGAACTGTCCAACAACATTATCGTATACAACATGGTGGACAATTCATCATATGTTGTTCCGGGTTTTAACTTCATACAATGTTGAGCCTTTCCGTTGTACGATAAACAACATTCGTTGTAAATAATATTACCTCCCCAATAGCAAATTACTGTGGCGCGTCTCCTCGACATTTTATACCTTCAATATACAATATAATATCAAATAATTTTCATATTAAAATGTGGTGTCATGGATAGCATGACATATTATACTTTTAAACATATAAGCTGGTAACATTTAGGATTTAGGCATAATGAAATTCTTTTGATCCTTTAAATTCAAGAAAAGTAGAATCCTCTTAAACCTTAAGCCAGAAATATAGCTCTTAAGTTAACATTAAGCATGAATTTCATCGGATTAGATGAAATTACATGAAGGATAGGGTCAAGGGGGCCACATATCTTTTGTTTGGATATGTAAACTTGGGTAGGATCAAAGATTATTTTTTTTCACATTAAAAAAACAGTAAGAAGGTAAATAGAATCATCGAAGAGAGTTTTTCAGTTTATGGTCTGCTGTATGTAGCATTATGTAATTGTCTCTGTTGTCTGATTGTTACCTGGTTTCCAAGTAGCATGTAAACTCTATAAGGATGATCACAGCACTACAACCTTATATTCTTTGCTGCAAACTCGTTCACCAAAAGTGTCAAAAAAAGGCACTCGGCATATTATTAGGGCAGATTGGGCTCCTCTATTTCTCTTTCTCCTAAAGTCTCACTTTGATGTCCTTCGTTGTATCTTTCTTTTGGATTTGATTTTTTTATTTGCTAGATATAACAGTTTTTTGTGTCCATATTCTTGCTTAAACTTTGTTTAGCAGCTTCTACCATATAAAGAAATGAATGCTTTGAACCCAAGATTTCGTCGAAGAATGCGAATGGATATTATAGGCATCCTCCTAGAAGTGGTGTATGTGATGCAAGATAATTGTTTACAGAAATCGCAAATTCTGTTAACAAAAGGAAGGGAATTATGAGCCTGTGGAATCAAAGGTCTGTATGAGTACATTCAATGTCTATCAGCAGCCATCTCTACATTGGTGAGCCATCTCTAAATCTAGTGGTCGAGTCCAGATCATTGCCATGAAGCTGAACACTGCAATATGATTCCTGAAAACACCTTGATTTTGTTGTATAATGTTGTTGATTTGTTATTAGTTAAGGTAAGTTTTATGATTTTTGTTATGACTATATGTTTGTGTGGTGATATCTTTGGCGTAATACTGGTTTTACTTCCTAATACTTTCTCTGCTTTGTTACTCCAGGGGCTCATGAACTTTCACCCTGATGTATTTGAGATATTGATCAGATCGTTTAAATGGAAGGGTGTTCCATTGCATAAATGTTTGGCTATGTTGTGGGAATACAGAAGGCTTGGCCATGTTCTTTGTGCTTTCTCTGTAAATGAGTCATTTATCACAACTTTGTCACAGCATTGTGGTGAACTTTCACAGTCCATTGATTTTTGGATAAGATTTATAAAAGGATCAGAGGCACAAGGAGTGGGGTTTCAGCAGAACTTCAGTTTGATGTTCCAATCAGATATCAAAGTTGAAGAAGTCAAGAAGGCTGCTTCTGAACTTCTTTCTAGTGTGAGATCCTTTTGCTAGCAATAAAGACTAATTTCCCCTCAAAATTTAGGTTGCAGCAGGTCTCTTATGACCGATGTTTTTTCCTTTAATGTTAGGTCTCTTTACCCAGTGGTTCAGCATTTACTGCTGCGTATCTGTACCAGGACTTGTCTGAGAAATTGGTTTCAAGTGGAAGTCTAATTGAGGTAGTTTGACAATGATTTGCTTCCTCATTTTCTTCTGACCATGATCATGTTTTTAGTAAATTTTATTTTGAGGAGATATTTATGATTGAGATTAAGATGATTTTTCTATCATGAGGCAGTCAATATTGGAAGCATGGATAGGGCAAGGGGTTGGATCTTCAGTTTAAGTTTTCAGCTCAGAAAATTAGACTTAACGAGCTGTAAGTCATATCAATAATGAGGAAAAGGGCATTTTGGGAGTTTTTTGACTTGTAGTGTTTGAAAACATCACACCCCCAACACACACCCCCCAAAAAAAAAAAATAATAATAATAATAAAAAAGCCCCTAACAAATATTATTGGAAATAGATGAGTCTTTTGATTTATTTGTTCAGTGTAGAAGATCTTTTCTGGAAACGATAAGTAAATGTGATTTATGAGTTTTTATTATGTACTTCTTTTGTTTGCAATTTTCTTTCATGTTGTTGGGCTTCTTATGCAACCTTTTTCATGTACTTTGTGATTTAACAAAACCTTAAATGACTTGTTTGTTTACAGCTCCTCTGTTGACAGGAATCCCTTCCTTATAAATACCAATAATCTATAAGGACTCAAGTACACATCACATATTCTTTGAGACTTTTATTGACCTAAGAATCAAACTGTCTCCAATCAATTCCCATTAGTCTTTGACAATATGTTATTTTCCAAGTTTGGAGAGGTCCCAAGTACAAATCATCATATTGATGGATACAAATTTTTCCCCGGGCATGAATTGTTGTGCTTATATGCATTATGTGCAACCAAGGAAGTCTCATTTTGTTAGACAATGAACTAGTATAATGTGGTGCTGGTGTTGGCATCAAGTCACTCAAGGTGTTGCCAGTGTGTAATGGTGCGACCATTGTGATGGTATTAACTAAAAGGTAGTAGAGGTTGCATTCAATGGGCCAATAACTGAAGGCTGGGAAAGCTGTTTGTTGCTAACAATGATTAACAAGGTGGAAGTGGGAGTGGTACTGTTTGTGGTGGCGGAGACATCATAAGTTTAGTTTTGTTTCTCCTGAAATTTGGGGTGTACCTGGGAAAAGATATTGATGATTGATAATCTGGAAACTATTGATACATTGAGAAATCTTAACACCACAAACATGCAGCATGTATATGAAAGCAAAGGGAATCATAAACATCATATTATTCTAGCTAGTGCCCAGGGATTTTTGGTTTTTCTAATGTCCTTATTCAGTTATCACTAATTAATGCAAGTGAAACTCCCCAAAATAGGAAATTTAAATATAAGAATTCCATTAACTAGTGAAAAGAGCGCTCAATTACAATTTGGCTTTACCAGAATTTTAATTTTTTTGTAAGCCAAAATAACAAGAACATTCAAATCTTTACTTTATTTCTTTTTCTAGCATTCAATGGCAATCCAACAAAGGATTACGGTGGTATTTGAGCACATTCTATATCGTAGAACATTATCGGTCTAATAGTAGTCTTATAAAACTTACCTTTCAATCTAAGGGATATACAACAGCTAAACCTATAAAATGTTAAAATTTTCAAATAATTACGAATGAACAAAAGAAATTGAGCTACCAAGGCTGTTCTGAGCATTTCACTTAAATTAGAAGACCAGATGGAATGATAAGGTGTGACAACCTCAACAAGAAGAACTTGATCTCACTAAATAGGGAGGGTATATCTCACTAAAGTATGGTCATTCTGTACGAGTTACAGTCATGTATTCCATCTAACTGTATGAAGCAGTATATCACCCAATGCAAATTACAAAAAACAGTATCAACAAGAAGAAGTTTCAGACAAGGACTAAATGAGTAAAGCATGATATCTGAATTCAAACCCTCAATCTCACTACAAAAATAAAACAAATAAAAAAAATCCTCAACATTCCATAATACAGTATCCATGATCAAGCCCTTCCATAATACAATATCCATAATACAATATTCCAACTAATGAAAAAAAAATATAATTTTATCCAGAAATAAGCATTCAGTATATATTGCATGGATGCAGTTCAAATTAAAATTCTGAATAAAATTCAGTCCACAAAATACTTTCACACAGTCAATTACAGAAGGATGCACACTTGGGGATTTCTAATGCAATAACAAAGCAGTTAAACTTGGGGATTTCTGATGCAGTAAGGATGTCTGAATTCAACAGTGATGGGGATTGGACAATGGTATAATGTTTTTGAGTAACACTTGGTGAGAATGTTTGAGTAAAACTTGGGGATTTCTGAATTCAATAGTGATGGGGATTGGGCAATGGGGATATGTTTCTAAACTGCGTAATTCACTGAATTACAAAGTAAATTGAAGCATACCTGGTTATATAGAAGGTTTCCTGTTCAACACGTGAAACCTGTCTTCTCCTTGCTACGGACCCAGGCCACGGGTGTACACCACTCCACTGCAAGATTTGAAAAAAAGACTGAGTAAACTAGGCCTATTAAGAATCTCATCACTGCAATTAGGGCTCAATAGCAAGTGTGGAGAATCTCACGCTTCGAATCTTGCAGAACCTCAGTTGTCTTCTTCGTAGAACCTTAGGGCTACGATAAGTTAGGGTTTATAGCTGAGCTTAGGGGAGGCGAAGCACACATAAGAGGAAATGGGGGGCCCTAGTGGGAGAAGAAATGGAGATGGAATCAATGCACAGAGAAGAGAAGAGAGCTAAACATCTCTATGTTCAAATGCCAGAGAGAAGAGAGAGGAAAAATTGTGAAACGAAATAACAGAAATGGGGCAGGATATACAAATAAAAGTGTGTTTATGGAATACGCTTCATTTGATTCCATGAATCCGCTTTCTATGTGAAAACTCATTTGATTATTCATCTAAAAGGCGGTATCAACAATTACGCTTTTAATATGAAGGCGAACTCGTTAATTTCGCTTTTAAAATAAGTCGGATGTAGTAAATCCGCTTTCACAGGAAGTCGGATTTGTTGATTCCGCATTTAAAAACAGCCATACATTGGTAAATAAGTTTAAAACAGCTGCATTTTGATAATATTGTTTAAAAATCACTGCATTTTGGTAATAGATTCAGCTTAACAGCAGTGGGATGATGTTGTTTCAGCGTTAAACGACGTCATTTTGCCGTAGGCTAAAAAAAATAAAAATTCAAATGGCATTGTTTTTCTGCCAAAGGAAACACCAGCCGATCTTCCCCTCCAAAAACAAGAATTCAGCAACTAACCTATCACACTCTCCTGCCCTCAAACCAGACCAGAGACGTTCGGAACCATCCATCACAAACCAGCAACTCCTCTTTCACTCCATTTGTTCGGCACCATCCTCATCTGTAAGTTCAAGTGTTTTTTTTTTGTTTTTAAGTGATTTCATATTGTTTATGATCATGTTTAATCTTTGAAAATGTACTACTATCACATTGAAATTGTAATCGATGTTAAAAAAAAAAAATATTTATCAATATCTTGTAAATTTGTTTACCAGGAATATATTGTTCATATTTCGTTTATCAAAAAAATATTCATTTAAGCTTTTCAATATATTTCATGAAGATTAAACATCTTAAACATTGTGATTATCAATATGTTTAATGATATATTTTGTTCTTAATATGATGGTGATATTGTATTAATATTTTTGTAATCTTTTTGGCATTATAACAAAAAAACAAAAACATCAAAAGTGATATCCCAAAGCTTCCAAATAGTAAATGCTCCCTCATTTGCCTCAAGTCCTTAAAGTTTAAACATTGTTGCTGCTTCATTTGCTTGAAGATGTTTAAGTCTGCTAGACATTTCATCAATGTTCAACCTCGTTTTAACATCTTGATTTGTTCGTCTCTCTATAGTCTCACTTGTTAGTCTCGTTTCAACTTTTTCAGGAGTCAACCATTTGAAAAACCCACATTTCTTATTATTCGAACTTGGACAATGGCAATATAATTTTCTTAGATTATTTGCAGATTCTGAAATCTTGACAAGTGCTCTGTGCCCACATCCACATTGCATATTTCGGTACATTAGACCTCCACTGCTTCCTTCTATGATTGACAATATCATTTTTTAACGCTACAAAAAATGAACGAGTTAACAATTATGAATGCGCAGTCTTGAATCAGACTGTTATAGCAAAAAATAAAAAATAAAAATTGAAAGATTACCAAATGAATAAGACTTATATTCAAAAATGCTTGCATGACTAGGACTTCTCCATGCTCTAAAAAATTCAGTATCCAACTATTATGAATTCAGACTTGACAAAAAAATTCAGTCCACTGTTATGAATTCGAACTTAGCAAAAAAAAATGTAGGAGCAAATGAATCTGACTTGAATCACACTTGCTAAAAAAATTGATAATGAATCAGCAGATTCAAGAAACAACATAACAAAAATACCAAAAATGTACCTTTCGAAAAAAAATACCAAAATGCTAATGAATCAAACTTGCCCAACCCAAATACCAAAAACCCATATATATGATGAATTAAACTTGTTCAACCCAAATACCAAAAACTCATACAATCAAAATGTGGTTAGGGCACAACAATTGAATAAAATACGGGAGGCTGAACCCAAATAAGACAAGAAAATAAAACTTATCTTGCTATTGAAGCACAATAGAACGAAGAGAACTTCGTTCACTGTGGGGATCGTTGGCATCTACAGAGAAGAGAGGAGTTCAATGGATTTTGAAATCGTTCAATGGTTAGGGCTGGATTTTGAAGTGATCTCTGGCAGAAAACGATGCCGTTTGAATTTTTTTTTTTCAGTCTACTAAAAAACGACATCGTTTAATAATGAAACGAAACGACGTCGTCCCACTTATCTCCTCACAGCAGAGAAGCTGCACGCTTAGGTTCACCATTTTGCAAAGCGTCTTCCGTTTTCACAAAGTTCTTCTGCAGATAGCAAGAAAGCATCGGTAGTTAGGTACTAGGTTTCCAATATTCCATACTCTCTCTCTCTCTCTCTCTCTCTCTCTCTGTATTTTGCTTTTTGTTTGCTATTTAATTGCAGAGAAATCTGGTAAAAACCAAAGAAAATTAAAAAATTTGAGCATTGAAACCCTGGATGGTTGCGTGGTGGTTGTTGAAGGGTTGGGCAGGAGGTGGTAATTCCCATTTCATCACTGGCGGGTTTAATTACCAACAGACAAAGGGTCTGGTCAATGTGAAGCTAAAATGGGTGAAAGATCGTGTATTAGATTCTGTTGTGGCTGGTGGGAGAGAGCTCAGGGCAGTTTCTCTCCTTGTTTCCATCATCGCTTCAAACCCCCAATGCTGCGTTCCTCTCTACCACTTCTCTCGCTGTAGAGGCCAACTGGGTCTCCCTCAAAATACTAAGATTTCAACATTTACCAGAAAATATCCTTCTATTTTCGAGGAAGTTCATCTTCCTAACAATGGAGGCACTCGTGTCCCGTGGTTCCGTTTAACTCCCCAAGCCTTGTCTCTTCACCAAGAAGAAGTCAGGGTTGTGGAAGAGTGTCAAATGGGTCTTGTTGATAGGCTTCGGAAGCTGCTCATGCTGACAAAGGATAGGACTCTTCCTTTACAAACAATTGATCAGCTAAAATGGGACTTGGGCTTGCCTTTTGATTATATGAATTCATTGATTTTACAATACCCAGAATTATTCTCTGTTGTTAGCCTTCCTGACAATCGTTTTGGCTTGAAACTTCTGGTCTGGGACGATGGATTTGCTGTTTCACAGTTGGAGAAGAATGCCCTTGTGCAGGGAAGGGAAGGAGATGGGAGAAATGGGACCTTGGCCTTCTCAATTGGATTCACAAGGGGTTTTGGACTGAAGAGAAAATGCATGGAGTGGTTGGAAGAATGGCAGAAGCTCCCTTATACTTCTCCATACACTGATTCATCCCATTTAGATCCGCGTACCGATGTGTCTGAGAAGAGGATAGTTGGTGTCTTTCATGAGCTTTTGCATCTCACCATACAGAAGAAAACTGAGCGCAAAAATGTGAGCAATCTCCGTAAGCCACTGGACTTGCCGCAGAAGTTTACCAAGGTGTTTGAGCGGCATCCTGGCATTTTCTACATTTCTAAGAAGTGTGACACCCAAACTGTTGTTCTAAGGGAAGCTTATGACCGCCACAGACTCATAGAGAAACACCCCCTAACTGATATCAGGGAAAGATATGCAAGTTTGATGGAAAAAGGGTTTGTGGATAGGAGCAGGGGGTTATACAAGAAAAACAAGTGTGAGGGTCTAGAGGAGGATCCTTTAGAGAGGATTTCTGGTGGTGAACTCAGTGGATTTCAATATGAAGGGGAGTCAGATGATTATCGGTATTCAGAATATGAATCAGACAAGACTATGGATAATTCTTGCTGAATTCTGCTGATGCGGTTAGCTTTAATTTTAGAGAAAAATTTCAGACCCATTAGGCTGTGTAGATAATGTATTGACAAATACAATACATGGAGTGCATCAGCATTGGTTCATCATGACGCAGCACCTCTGTGAAGATTGAGAACTTCATTTGATGGAAACTAATATCTCGATACATTGTTTCTTCAATTGCAATCTTGATGGTAAGAATCTTCAAGTTTACCAAGGTGTTTGAGCGGCATCCTGGCATTTTCTACATTTCTAAGAAGTGTGACACCCAAACTGTTGTTCTAAGGGAAGCTTATGACCGCCACAGACTCATAGAGAAACACCCCCTAACTGATATCAGGGAAAGATATGCAAGTTTGATGGAAAAAGGGTTTGTGGATAGGAGCAGGGGGTTATACAAGAAAAACAAGTGTGAGGGTCTAGAGGAGGATCCTTTAGAGAGGATTTCTGGTGGTGAACTCAGTGGATTTCAATATGAAGGGGAGTCAGATGATTATCGGTATTCAGAATATGAATCAGACAAGACTATGGATAATTCTTGCTGAATTCTGCTGATGCGGTTAGCTTTAATTTTAGAGAAAAATTTCAGACCCATTAGGCTGTGTAGATAATGTATTGACAAATACAATACATGGAGTGCATCAGCATTGGTTCATCATGACGCAGCACCTCTGTGAAGATTGAGAACTTCATTTGATGGAAACTAATATCTCGATACATTGTTTCTTCAATTGCAATCTTGATGGTAAGAATCTTCAAGTTTACCAAGGTGTTTGAGCGGCATCCTGGCATTTTCTACATTTCTAAGAAGTGTGACACCCAAACTGTTGTTCTAAGGGAAGCTTATGACCGCCACAGACTCATAGAGAAACACCCCCTAACTGATATCAGGGAAAGATATGCAAGTTTGATGGAAAAAGGGTTTGTGGATAGGAGCAGGGGGTTATACAAGAAAAACAAGTGTGAGGGTCTAGAGGAGGATCCTTTAGAGAGGATTTCTGGTGGTGAACTCAGTGGATTTCAATATGAAGGGGAGTCAGATGATTATCGGTATTCAGAATATGAATCAGACAAGACTATGGATAATTCTTGCTGAATTCTGCTGATGCGGTTAGCTTTAATTTTAGAGAAAAATTTCAGACCCATTATGCTGTGTAGATAATGTATTGACAAATACAATACATGGAGTGCATCAGCATTGGTTCATCATGACGCAGCACCTCTGTGAAGATTGAGAACTTCATTTGATGGAAACTAATATCTCGACACATTGTTTCTTCAATTGCAATCTTGATGGTAAGAATCTTTTAGCATCTTAGGGATAAATTGCATGTGAGTGTGCGTGTCTGTAAAAATAGTTGTACTATGCTCTTAGTTTAATCTTCTTGCCCTCTTTCCTCTACACGAAGAGACATTCTACCTGATTATGGTCAATTTAATTGTAGAAAAGCTACATAATTAGGCTATTCCTGTCCCATAAAAATAATCTTTTTGCGAGTTCCAATTTCTTAATGACATGGTGTTTAATGCATTCATATGCTTTTGGAAATTTGTAGGCTTTCAAAATTCCTCCAGGTTTTCAAAATTTTCATCTATACTGACGGAGAACTTTGAAAGTGGAAGAGATATCAAGAATGTTACAGAATTTGGAGCATTAACTTTTCAGGTGAACAAAAATATCGGATTTCCTGAAAAGGAATTATGGCGTGTATATTTGAACTCTAAAAAGTAATTTTAATTGCATATTATGTAATTCCATGATTTAGGTTTCTGAACCAACACAAAAATTGCATTCTAGCTGTAGTTCTTCCACATCTTACTTCTCTTTCTGTGCCCTGTGAAAATTATTATGGTATGTAATGGTCATGTTTACTCTGCACAAATTGTTATCAAGTATTTTGTCTTAACCTTAGGCAGGATATGAAATCTAAAGCTAAAGTTTTGACAGATCCAGTATTCTTGTACAATCAGTTAACCTAAGGACAATAAAGGAGACTACATGACATGCAAATATTTCCTCACAAGAATGCAAGTGCCAGAATCAAACAAATGGCAGATTGCTTAGCCACTCTTCATAATTAGAAAAATGAGAACCATGAGTACATACCAAAACAAGCTAATTACTGAGGGTAAAAGATGATCATTACCATGTCAGACGAAAAAAAGTGATCTCTGAGGTATCTGGATGCAATTTGGCTGCTGAGCTAATCCTGTTATGTTTGCATGTGGTGTTCTATCTTTTTCCATTCATGTATTCATCTGACATCAAGCACAATGCATTCCAAGAGTATCTCCAGTTCTGTTGTGTGTGTGTGTGTGTGTTTATGTGCATGGTTCACTCAAAATCTGCCTAAAGGTTCTCTCGAAATCATTGTAGCATGCTCTAGATTTTCTTGTCTCCTGCTTCTGAAATGGACATTCTTCATATTAGAATGTCAATATACTTGTGAAATATTTTACTATAATCTTCATCGTCGACTGAGTACACCCCTTTTGTAAAGATGGGGGTTAGGCCAACTAAAGCAAAATAAGTTTAGTGATTCATTACCGAAACCATTGAAAGTTTGTGGATATGTGGTAGTATTTTATGTTGAAAAAAACAGATTATGCATTTAAAATGATAAATTCTTCCAAGAAGTAATGTGGTCTTCTCTTTTTGCAAAAAATTATTCTCGGACTGGACGCATTGGTGTCTGAAGTTTCTGATGGAATATGAATGTTAAGACTTTTTGTTTTGCTTGCACTCAGTATTGTGCCTGTTGCCTTGTATCAACTTCAATATTAAGTGCATTGCATCTCATGATTCCCTCTTGTTCTTGTTTATCTCTTTGTTGGGCATGCAAGAATATTGTGTTTGATTAAGCTGTCAAAGCTATCAAGAGATAGGAAAAGTTCTACGGAGCGTTTGACATTTCATCTACTATGCTTTACACTCTCCTTTCTTTTCCATGAAAACTTTATATCATGCAATATTGATGTAATGATACAAGTATGCAGCAAGACATTATTGCTCTTAGCAGTGAAGGAGCAAAGAGGGCTAATATGCTGCTACTTGAGCTTAGAAATCAGAGTACAAAAAGTTATATGGCCACGTGGTGATGTAATTTTAAAGCTTTCACTTCCTGAAATTTTGTTGTACCGCTGATAAGGATGCTATGGTGGCTGCTGTCTTAGGATTCTGGATAAGGGTTGATGTGTGATTCTTTGTTGTCCCCTTTGGTGTGGTGCAGAGAGGAGAGGTCTTTCAGGATGTCAGATCTAAACCTGTTTAAGATTGGGAGGCTGTAGTCTGGGGAAGGAGTGGACCTCCTAAGTGGGATCTTCTCATAAGGTTCTGCCGGGAGAACCAAAATTTCTCTCTCTTTTTTAAAAGTTGTTTGGGGACTAAAGTTCATTTTGGCTTGGTTTGCTATGCTTTTATAGTGCACTATGTTCCTTCTGAAGAAAATATTCTTGATTGTTTTTCTTGCTGCAATTTTGTTTAGTAAGATCCACTTCCTGTTTATCAGACGATGTGTTTTTCTGTAACTTACTCTTCAATCTATTAGAAGGCTGCTGCTAGTGCCCAAGAAGCTAAGCTGCTACCCCAGCGTAAGGTCATGAACACCTGCTTTAATTTTCTGCCACACTAGTGATTTTTGCTCTGCTATTAGGGTAAACATAAGTGCAATGTGATTTTATTTTTGAGATAGGATGACGTAGCACAATCGCATGCCCAACCATGTAGTTTACTTCAAGAGAGTGTTAACTGAACTTAACATCCGTTGTTTGACATGGTTGTACTAATAAGCCTGGGATTTTGACCACCTGTAAAAGCCTTAGGATTTTGCATCTGATTTAGTGTTTTCTCTCTGTTGGTTCACAACATTTTGTGTAGCCATATGCTGTGTTATATGAACCCTCAATATTCTATACCTCACTACTCGTATTGAAATTTTCATAGATTGATATAAAAAGAGTTCTTTCGTCTCAAACCTGAATAATATTTAATTAGGTAAAGTGGTTCTTCTTACAAGCATTCAACTGGGAGCTTTCCAATGAAGGTTGTCAGACTTAAGAGGTCCTTTCTTTTGCAAGGGTCCAGACCATTCTGCTGTTGAGAAAGCAGGACCTCGTCATTCTCAGGCATGTTATGCATCTTATGGCTCTGTTCTGAGCTTCCATATTAGCCTTGTCATTCAACCACTATCCATGCATATATTTTCAGCCTGGCTCTTGAATATTTTGCTTCCCAGGTGGTGGTGAACAATGCTGCTTGAGTTGTTGTGCCTTCTATTTCCCATTACTTTGGAACTGGGCATGCGAGTGGCATGAAAAAGCTAAGGCTGATGGCAATTTACAGAACTCAAAACTATTGAAGCTTATATGAGTAACAGAATGGGGATGATGACACCCAAGTAGGTAAACCGAGAATAGTTGAACCTGACTATTTTCATTAACCGGTTGCTTTCATTTTGCATAGAGATGACTATGTGGTAAGGTTGCTTTCATTTTGCGTAGTTCATAACAATTGTTATTGCTCCAGTAGGTCGCTCAATGCAAAAATGCTAAGGCATACTTTTCTGGAGCAAAAGAGTATGATGCAGTCAAGCAGCTAAGGTAAGACTGATCATAAAGAAAAAAACTATTTTGCATTACTGATTTAAATTGTAGAACTGCAATGTCAAAAGAGGTTGACCTGAAATTTTCTGTATTGGATAACCGAGAAAAATTATTTTGCCTCATAGCATACCTTCTCTTACTATAAGCAATGTGCTATTTCTGAGGTTGACTTGGTCTCACCTATCAAACCAGTGTTATTTTTAGGTTGATTTTCTAGATTAATTGTGTAATAGCAACCCAACATAGCTCAATTAAGCTCATGTTATTTGAATTTGAATTGATGATTGTTTGAAAGTAATGATCAGTGGGGGTTTTCAACTCGGTTCAGTGCATGTACTGATGAAAATTGTTGTGCAGTGTTTCAAATACTATTCCCTGGAGGCAATTTTTCAATAGGCAAGCAGTTATACTCAACAATGGAAAAGACTATTGTTTCCGGTAACATAGCAAAAAATACCACTGATGAGGGACAAGTTACACATTGCAAAGAACAAGTTACATCTAATTGTGACTCTATAATCGATCATAACTTTTTTACTCATAACTTAGACCCTCCAAAAATTATAACTCAGCCTTTAAATGACGTAACTTTCTGTACGATACCAAAAGGAGGTACCGTAGTCGTTTCCTTCAACAATAGTTTGGCAGGGAAGGGTTGGAGAATCCACTGACAGGACTTCCATTGAGAAGTTGAATGTATTTTAATGGGCATTTGTTGAGTAATCTGCACTGGGGCCGAAACTTTGTTATTGATGTTTCATGATGAACATGCTAAGTTTTGGAAATTTTACAGACTCCCTCCATTAAATGGTCGAGTCATTTGCTATCTGGAAATTTTTTTAGTGAATTTTCCTTTATTGTTCCGTAGACTTGGTCCCACGGAATGTTGGAGTATAAGAAGCAAAGGATTTGACTGTATCGAGGGGAATTTGGTCACCATAGTTGTAGTCCCGTTAAATAGTGAAACTAACCAAACAAAAATATCAGATTGGATAGTTTTTACTTGGCTTATACTCTTGGAAAAAAAATGCTAAACCGACTTAAAAAATTGACTCGATAAATTATTTTCATTGAATAGGTAATAAATTTCAATAAATATTGGGATTTNTACTCTTGGAAAAAAAATGCTAAACCGACTTAAAAAATTGACTCGATAAATTATTTTAATTGAATAGGTAATAAATTTCAATAAATATTGAGATTCATAATTAAATCAATGACAAATATAATAGTTACATCATCAAGTCAAGTTTTTAAGTTAGTTTTTTAGGTTTGCGCAACATTACTCATTTTACCAAAGCTGGAGTCCTAATCTCCCTCTTCATACACTAACAAATTTTTTTGACTCTGCGTTTAGTATGCAGTGATACGTTTAAGTATGAATGTAATAAACATTGGAATGAAATAAAATATATATTACTATTTAAATGTGACATAACTAATAGGGTAATTATCATTGACACTCCTTCCAAANCGTAACGTATCGTACGATACGTATCGTGTATCGTACGATACTAACAACTTTGGGTGGGGGTGGGATTAGGGGTTTGGGTATTAGAGAGCCGAGATGTGAACAGAGGGTTGTCAGAGTGTGTGGGTATTTTTGATTATGATTGGAATGTTAGAAGAGGGTAGGAGCATGACCAGTGAAGTGAGAGGAAGCNAATAGGCATAGTAATGACCTGGTGTTCAAAAATCGAGAATTGGATCAAAAATAGGTGAGGGTGGGATTAGGGGTTTGGATATTAGAGAGCCGAGATGTGAACAGAGGGTTGTCAGAGTGTGTGTGGGTATTTTTGATTATGATTGGAATGTTAGAAGAGGGTAGGAGCATGACCAGTGAAGTGAGAGGAAGCCAAACTCAGATGAGGTAGTTTAGTGCGTATCGCGAAAGTTAGGGATGTGAGTGTAGGATTTGGAAATGCAAATTGGATGTCCAATTGAATTTTAAAAATTAAATGGATAATTTTCTAGGGTATATTTAAAAAAATATTAAAATTAAATTTTCGAATTTGATGTATTTACTAAAATGCCATTGCATGGNGAAAGTTAGGGATGTGAGTGTAGGATTTGGAAATGCAAATTGGATGTCCAATTGAATTTTAAAAATTAAATGGATAATTTTCTAGGGTATGTTTAAAAAAATATTAAAATTAAATTTTCGAATTTGATGTATTTACTAAAATGCCATTGCATGGCGTTCATTTCCAAGTTGTTGTTGGATGGCTAGTCTAGAGCTTTTCCACCTCTTGCCATCCATGCAGAAGCTTGTGGAGATGATAAACATCTTTGCTGGTTGTTTGGATGAGCCATAATCGACAGGAAAAGAGAGAAAGAGAGGAGAGAAGTTAGAGAGAGAAAGAGAGAGCTTGAAGAATCAAAACTTTATAGACTTGAATTCGAGCAACGAGTATGTTTCTAGCTTAATTAGGGTGCTAGGAATCTGTTTATGATGGTTAGAATTTATCTCAGTTATTGTGTAACACCCCGCATTTTCTTTTATATATGTATATAGATATATAGTAAATAATTGTTGTAAAAATGGGGATATGTGTAGTGATGTGTGTTTGAATTTGGTAGAATGAAAAAGGGATGAACAGTGCACTGGCTGTAACATCAAGCTCGATTTCGACCTTGATGCAGTCCATATCTCTCAAAACTTAAAACATGAAATTTGTAGA